AAAAAAAAAAAAAAAAAAAAAAAAAAAATGCACTGTGATAAATAAGACTGTCCCTCAACTTGAAAAATGCACACTTATTTCAAGGCAATCAGCCATAATGTATACAGTTTGCTCTTAAAGTATTTCAAAACAACACGTTTGCTTCTGTATGTTTAGAGAACAATTGATAAAGTAAATGGAGTAAAATTGAACAATAGAGGAGTCTGAGCAAAAGACATGTTTTCTTTGAGCTAGACTGATTCTTCTTGCAATTTTTCTGTAAATTGGAAATTATTTCCAAATAAATATCTTTTAAACGCTTCATTGGGCAAGCCTCTCTCTGCTTTTCAGTTTTAAGTATCTGAGATTCATCAACTTAGATGTCTTTTTTGTTGTTGTTGTTGCTATTGTTCTGTTTTGTATTTGTGACCTGCCAGATAAACCCACAAAAAGGAGAGTTTTAAAACTGCATTGTGATTTCTTAAATTTGGTGGTAATATGACTTACTATAAAATGTATCCTCCATAAACATTATTGCTCTATTTTACAAAAATCCTGGGTACTTTTTGCTTTCATAACAGGAAAAGTGGAACTACACTGATAATGAAGGTGATAAAATAATCATTTCAGCAGGTGGCACATATTGCAAAATTTGAAAGAGGAATCTGAGAAAATTCTAATAACAGGAAGAGTGTGCAGGGGAAACTTAATGTCTTGCTTCATTTCAGCTGCTATAAAAATAAAAGTACTGATGGCTTTACACAATAGAAACATATTTCCCTCTTCTGGGGGCTGGCAAGTCTAAGGTCAAGGTGCTGGCAGATTTAGTGTCTGAAAAGGATTTAGTTCTTCATTCATAGATGGTAGATGGTGCCCTTTGGCTTCATTCTTGAGAGGTGAAAGGGGAAAATGAGCTTCCATAGGGCTCGCTTAAAAGAGTACTAATCCCATTTATGGAGGTCCCTAACCATTCACTAGGGTCAACCTTCACAGCTGATTTACCTCCTAACACTGTTCACCTTTTGAGTTAGAATTTCAACATGTGAGTGTTACGGAGACACTGTTATGATTTGAATCTTAAAAGTCCCCCAGAGACCTTGGTCCCCAGCCCAAAGCACTACTGAGAAAAGATGGTTCCTCTGAGAGGTAGGGCCTGGTGGAGGGAAGTTAGGTTACTGGGGGCATGTCCTCGAAGGAGACATTGGGCACTTTCCCCTGTGTCTCATTTTGCTTCTTGACCATCATGAGGTGAATAGATTTCCTCTATCATGATGTTCTGCTTCACCACAGGCCCAAAGCAGAAAATGTCCATGGAGAAAGTGTTAAAACCATGAGCCAAAATAAATCTTTCCTCACTTCAACAAAGGGTGACATGGGTGGCTAACAGACGCCCTTACTGTACTTTTCTAATGAAATATGTACTTTAGCATAGTGCTAGCCAGCGGTGCATCTCAGTAGCTACCCTGGGGGAAATACAGGAAGCAAACTTTATGTTCGCTCCCTTGGCAGGACGAACAAATGGCAAGGTGTTTGCATGTGTGTCAAAGTGTCAACAGGTGAGTTTTATCCACATTATGTGCCAGGTTACATCTTTGTGTATTTATAATTGCTTTCAATAAATGTTTTCTTTTGAGTTTTCTTGTGGAAATAGCCCAATTCAGTATGATGTCAAATAAAGATCATTTTTACAACTTTGGCGGGAGGTTGAAAGTGAGTCAGGGACTCAGCTGCCGATGATAACTTGGATCGTGGAAGCCAAAGAGGCTGTGATGGAGAAGTACATGATGAAGGCCTTGACTCTGATGAGGAAGAAAACAGCAATCTAAATGAACATTTAACCAAATATTTAGCCAAAATGCTACAAAATGGTCCAGCATTAGAATTCTGTCAGAAAACATTCTTAGATTCTTGCCAAGGTAAAAGCTGTTGGATGGAGGCCAATACTGTGACTCAGTGTTGAAAATTGTTTCTAAGGATGATATGCTAGAAGATGTTTTGAAATACATTAATAATAAAAAACAAATAAAACTT